GAAATTAGGATTAGTAGGAGTATTGGTACTGGCTTTCAGAGGACCGTATAATGATGTACTACATTAATTTGATCGCCGAGTCCGAGAAGCGGGAGAAGGAACTGCAGCGCTCCGAGGAGGACCGTCGAAGGCTACGTGTTGGCAACCCTCCAGGAATCGATGACCGGTAGGTTGCTCGAGCTAAGGCGCGCTTAGTGGGTTTTGTAGGTTGGCTGGTCTGCAGAAGACTCGACATGAGCACAATAAGAAAAAGAAAAAGAAGAGGACTTCATCCCCCTCGGAGGTTAAATCCAAGAAGGCTAAGCGGAAACGTCCTCGGCAGCAGCCCGAGGCGTCTCCAGTTCCCTCGAGTTCATCGGGCCTTGGCGGCTTGGCGGCCGATGTTGTTGATGATGAAGAGCTGCTCATTGAGCGAAGGTAGTGTGTGCCTGCTTGGTTTATCACTGAGTGCAAGTCAGGTCCACTCGGAATAAATTCGCTATCGATGACTCCCCCAGCTTAGAGGAAGAACTCCATCCTAAGATTGTCACAATATCATCTGGGAAGCTCCGTGATGACCGCCGACCATCGTAGTACGGGTTGTATCTCCTCTCGGGAGGTCTCCAGTGTTTTGACTTGTACTGATCATGGTATTTCAGAAAGCAGACGAAAGAGAAAAGGGTGAAGTCAAGTGCATCGCGTGGACGCCCTCGAGAAGTAGTATACTCTAGCTGCTCTGTCCTTGTCTTCATATTGGTAAATTTGCAGCCTTTTGGTGATAGCAGCGCCGACGGCGACCCCGGTGGGAGGAGGCGTAGACGGCTCCGTGTTCAATCAGCGTCGAATAGTGATGCTGAGGACGATGAGGGTACCCGAAAAAGGAGGCGCGATTCGGTACAGATGCGGTCACAAATCTTATTGATGTGCTTCCTTTTAGATGGAGGTTGAGGATATACCAGACTGGGCCCTTGAAGGAGCGATTCGTCGTAGCTCCCGGATACGAGAAGCTCGAGAAAGCTCTGTAGTATCCGACAGCAGTGCAGCAGGCAATGAAGTCTCGACTCGACGGAAGCGGGGACGACCTAAGAAGAGCAGCTCGGGAAGAGCCAAGATGTCGTCCTCAAAGAAGAGCCAGCCTCGTAAGAGTGCGACACGCGGCGTTGGTGGGCCGAAAAGTACTGCAAGGAAAAGTGCTGGTGGGACACGACGGGTAGTTGAAGTTTATAGTAGCCAGCCGAGGAAGACTGGCGACTTCAAAATTGAAGTTCGTACGGTTGCTCCTCGGAACAGCGATATAGGGTTCCTGAGAATGGAGATAGATCCTAAAGCGGGGTGGTCTCGATCGGGCATCTGGCGTCGGAGGATCGGTCTTGAAAAAATCCCAGCCTTTCCACCATTACCTTTGCAGCCTCGTTGTAGAGATAGTTTTATTTGACAGTACTCAGTTGTGAAGTGCTTGAGGATCTCATTTCTTCCTCGTATATTTCTGTACATGCTCGTTGTTTAGTACCCGGTACATTAGCCTCCTATTTCGGTCGGTACTAACGTTGTGTATAATTGTCATAATTTTCCGTGTGTACCATAATTTTCTCCAAAGTATCATCATCAAGAGTCTGGCCTTGTTGAGTTGAAGTGTCTGGAGCTCCTGTATGAACGCTTATTGGATCGACTCGAGCTGAGGGAGACTGTTGTTCAGAAGACAGCGACGATTTTATGATGATACTCCAGGCTTGGAAAGGCTCCAGAAATTGAAAATACTCGAAGTCAGTGAAGGCTATTCGAGTGTTGCGAAACACTGTGTTTGAGCGATGGGGCAGTTGAAGCCCCATGGGGACAAGGAAAGGGTAAGTTTTGCGTTATACCGCCTGCTATGGGGATGATGAGGGACAGCACAAGTAGGGACTACGGTGAAATGCATGGGACATGGTGGTGAGGTCCGGTAGTTATCGAGGAGGCTGTGAGCGCGGCATTTGGTCAAGAGTTCAACTGCTGTGTATTATCGGGCTGGATATTGGGTTGCATTCGGATGATGAGAAAGTCCCGGATGGAATCAGTCGGTTGATTGGGTATCGCAGAAATCGCTACGACAGCGAGGAATGTAACAGCGCAGAGCCGTCCATGAGGCGTTTGGAAAGCAGAGAGTTCATGGAGGTTCATATAGCATCGCGCAGAGGTCGAGAATCTTGGTCATCGCGCGAGGTTGGTGAATCACCAACATTCAAGAACGGTCTTTGGAGGAACCAAGGTGTGGGCATCAGAGACTATCAGATATCAACAGATATCCAGTTGGTGTGGTCATCCAAGAACCTCTGCATCCCCCATCACCAATGGTTATGGGGTATGCAGAGGCTTCGGAACATAGTTTGCCACCTCGGAAGAGGGATCGTTGTCGCAGAGTCAATCTTGCATTCTGAACATCACCAACCTACTTTTTTTCTGATCCTCCTAGTTCGAGTTTTCACTTGAGCCTCAGCGGATAAGTAGCTGTCATCACCATCATCATCGGCAGCAGAACTCCTCCACAAACGGTTGTTCCCTCCTCTGTGAGGGTATCGTATGTGGGGCTGGCAATATCAACTGCTTTCCAGTAGTGACCTTGGACGTCAATGTCGGAGACTGTGTGGCAATAGTCACTTTATCAACGACTGAAGTTGTCCTCCAGGACGCGAGTCGGAAAATAAAAAGGGGAGATTCAAACTAAGGCAACAACTCTTTCATTCCTACTCAGCTGACCTTATTGCACCACTCTACCTTCCTGACACACGAGCATGCATTTTCTACCTATTGATATCCTGCTGAGGTCAATTCCGCAGGGTTTTATCGATGATGAAACCGCGACGGCCGGGGACAATACTTGTGTGCTGTTGATCTCAGCTAGCCTCCTAGCCAGAGGGTGCAAGTGTTTCACGATACCGCTCTGTGAGTTTGAGTTTGTCTAGTCGGATATGGCTTGTTCATCGACGAAGGGAGTGCGGTTCTGCGATCCGCGTGAACCTTGGGCACCTCTCGTTTGTTAGTTTACCGTCTCTCAACTCGAAATCCCACCCAACCCACGAACCGAGACTACGGGTGAGCAGAAGTCCATACCCATCATACGGGTTAAGGCTTTCGCTGGGCTGTCCGCTACGGGTCTAGGGTTGTGTACCTGCTGTGCGCAGCCAAACGTGAGATCTGTAGGCTTGAATATTCACGAGGCAGCGGGGAGCGTTCCCGCGAGTTCCGAGCTATCGTGATTGCCTTCAGATTAGTCGCGGACAGTGCCCGACTCCCAGACCCCGTAGTTAGAGGTTTCATCACAGCCGCGGGAGCAACATCTTCAGCCTTTGACTGCTTTTAAGTATCACAAAATGGGGATGTAGTATAGCTAATACTACGTACCATTGTTCCGCCCGTCTCTCTGCGGGCTCTGTTCATTCGTTTGACTGGTTAAGGCTGCTGTTGACGAACATCTCACTTGTGACTCGTACAATCTACGGTGCCAAACGTGTGTAATTTTGTTTCCACAAAAGAAGACGGGGATGCTGATATGGGGTAACGATCGACCTACCTAACGCAAAGCCGATTCCTCTCGAACATTCTCCAAGCAAAATGGTCCATGCAGCCGAAGGGGGATCATACAGCCTAGCTGTCCCTCCATAAATTTCCTTTTGTAAAGCAGCGCCTTTTCTTCACGCAGCCACTCAGCGAATCAGGCCTAGTCCAGTGAGGCAAAATGAATATGAAAACTCGCATAGACAGGACGATGGTCGGAAGACTTGACGTTCGGTATGGAGTCGTACACGTGGCAGACTATTTGATGACGCGAGTCAGCGTCACTGCGCCACAAAATTCGATCGGTCCACGACGGTATTCGTTGCTTGGAACTCGTATCGTACCTGATAAAAAATTGTAGCATCGGAAATCCCCAAGATTCACTCACTCGTTTGATCCCAGATCGAATTTGTACGTCGGCGGGAATAATATCGGCGCTTCATCCCATTCACTCCACGGTGGCGCTCTGTTCCATCGGTGGTGTGTCTCCACCAAAGAATCTTCTGATGCTTGCGACTCGTCGTCGGACAACAGTAGTTGGCTGGTCAATTGGCATCGCTTGTGTAGTAGCTCATCAAAGCGCCCCATAGCGAGCAATCGATCGCAGTATGCCCGATTGCTACTTTTAACTCTAAAGTTGAGGTCACCGAAAAGGAAGGTTGGCCCCCGTACGTCATGGTGCTTGCCTCTGTCTCGCCTACGGTAGAGCCTCTTGAACCGTCGCAACACCCCAACGTGGTGTCTTCGCTTAGTGAGCTGATGATGCACAGCTCGGTGATGATGATGCTGATCGTTGGATGTGTGCTGGCGTATGCAGAGATGTTTGAGAAGTCGGCTTGTTGTGATTATTCGCTCATAGTCCCGGTTTCTCCTTCTTGAATTGCGCGCATGTGCCGCAAGATGGCATTGAATAAACGTTAGGCTCACTTGGGACGGATCAGAACTGCTAGACCCCCGACGGTGTTTCCGTTTCGACTCTGCTCTTTTCGAATCGTGATGGTCCCGTGCTCGAGCGGTGAAGATGAGTTTGACAACTACGCCGCCTTTGTTACCGACGACGTTGCCGGCACCGGTCGGTACGGTATCAGTCTTAACCGTGATCAGATGATAGGGCATATCTATACGAGTAAAGACCACCAATAGAATTCCTTGTAGTTGGCGAGACGCTGCCACAGTGAACTGGTCGGCACCAAGTCGCTGGTGGACGTGAGCGATCCAGTTCTGGCTGAGAACCTGCAAGTCGATCTTCCGACACAAAGCAGTGAATGCTCACTCGAAGGCTCTTGGTGTTGATGAGGGTCTTCTCGAGGGACATGCCGAATTCGCTGAGGCCGAAAGCGACGATATCGGAGGGCACAGGAGGAAGGAGTCGATCGAGGTCTTCGTCGGGAGGGACCGTACCACAGCTGTTAAAGGCGCAGATGTGAACCTAGGGGGAATGAGTTTTTGGGCTTTCGAAGCTATGGGTACTGTAATGGATGAAGACTGTGATGGAGCTCGAGGGGTTTCGAAAATCTGAGAAATTTTTTTTCAAAAGAGTTCGAGACAAATGCCAGTGGTTCACCTTAGGAGGTGAACACTGGTCGTCATCCTGAAGGTCGCTGTCGTTGTGGTGCTTAGCACGACGGAGATACTCTTTGCGCCGTTGCCATTTACGCGCCTTCTTTTCAGTGGAACCACTCATGGGGCCTATTACAAAAATCTCTTCAAAAAAGGTGGCCTTCTTGAACCTCTTGAAAGAGAGATCTCAGGAACTTCAACGGATTTCGGAATTATGGACGTCTTCTAAGAAGACTTTTTGAACCTCCAGTGTTGTTGAACGGTGGGGTCTCCCAAAATCTTGCGTTCTTGAGCTCACTTGAAATTCCTCAACGGCTTCAGAGCATTTTTCAAAGGTTTAGAGGCTTTCAACTGAACAGCTGTCAAGAATGAGGCTTCGTCATCCCCCCTTCATATTCGTTAAGAGTAAGATTCACTGTGTCCAAACGCGGGCCTGTTTTGAATCTTCCATTGCTCAACCTTGGATATCCAGCCGCTTCGTTGAGCTCGATATCTGATCGAATAACACAGTCACGTTACGGTTTTACATTTCATCTTGGCAGATATCAAACGATGGCAGGCCAAGTTCCGCTTCTGGCCCCCAAAGGACGCCTCACCAGTGCAGGTCGGATGGGGGAATCTTCAGCGTGCGCGTGGAAGATTCAAAATAGGTCCGAGTTGTACCCATATTGTAATTGCTTATGTTTGCAGCCCATCGAACCATGGGGTAAACAATTCTTCGTTTACAACGGCCGACCGAAAGTGGAGCTAAAGGGAGATCCCCGACGCCCTGACGAAGACATTTCCCGGCCGAAATGGGTGAGGCGATTGAGCTTCCTAAATCTTTTCAGAATTTTCTCTTAGTTGCGGGACGAAATTGCCCTGTCGTTGTTACGTCCAGGAGAGAACCCGAATGACTTCATTGTTGCCACACATGAGAAAGTGAGTGATGATTTCAAATATGTACATAGTCAACTACGTGTGTTGGTGACAGTATGAAAATTCTGAGGAAACTTGGGGAAAAATTCTCATTGGTTTTTGCACACTTTCACCTGAATTCGTGTTGAAACTTCTAGGCTCTGCTGAATATTCTAACGCTGGATGATTTGTTTATTCGAGATGGCCTGTGTTTAGGACCTAACGCCTGAGGAAGCCGACGAGAATGCAGAATTTCAAGTGGAAACAGTTCTTTGTATAACTGATTTTCGGTGGGCAAGGCGCGGTCTGATACCACTCCTTTGGCAACTCTTGCACAGACGTCGACCGCTGTGTTACCTCTCGCCGGACGAGTTCAAAAGTCTTATGGACAACCTACCAGCTGTGAAGCGGGCTATGGAAGAGTAAGTGCATCTGGCTGACTTCTAAGGTCCCTGGTTCGATCCCTGGGCCTACCATTTTTTTCCTAGGTATAAAGCCAAGATTCCCAGCACGCGAGTGGACAACGTCGATGAACTTCAGCGGCTGTATCATCCTGATCGACGGTATAAGAAGGCCGGCGGCAAGGGCCAGGTGCTCATACCGTATCACCGCCATGGAGAGCAGATCATGCCTTTGAATATTCCCAATCACAAGTTGGGACCCTACAAAGAGTGGTATAAGCAGGCTAAGCCTGACAGAACCCTTTATCATTAGACATGCAGTGGTACACGTGTTTCCGACTAGCTAAAAAATGTTCAGTTCAGTGCCCATTAACCCTCGGGACTTTTGGGGTTGCATAGTAGTGCAATGTTGTCTTCGTCGCTCAAAGTTGGACCTACCAAGTGCCCGGTAGCAGTGGCTGCTGTGCGTGGATTCTCGGTGATAACCCCGGGGGGTCCTTACCCGGCGAGTGTGCCGATGTTTGTTGGAGGGAAGTTCATCGAGTCGAAGAGTGGCAAGGTGCGAGGCGGCTAGTGTTGGAATATACATTTGGTTTCCTCATCTCAGGAGTAAGTTTAGTAGTGCACAAAAACCAATAAGAGTTTCCAAAAATCCCCTCAGAATTTTCATATTGTCACCAACACATGTGGTTGACCATGTGTATATTTTCCTTCTCCGAATGTTGCAGTCCTAAGCTGAGAACTCTGCCACTTTCCCATGTACGTTATTCTTAGGCTGATCAGTTGTATCTGCAGTGTCCTGTGAAATGCGTATCAGGTCACTCCGTTGAGTTTAGCGCTCCACAGATGCTAGTATAGTTAATATGATATTATAATAGATTTTGTGTCATAGTTATGATGAAAAAACTTATAAACTAAATTTTATAAAAAAATTTTTACGGTGAATTTTTTTCAAGAATTCGATAATCGAGGAAAGCATGAATGAATAATAATAAAGTCTAATAATCCTAATGAACGGATATGATCATGTTTTCTATTTTCACCATCACAGGTCGCTACTCACAGTGTGGGGGTTCCTGGTAGGTTGAAATCGATGTTGTGGACCCAGCTACTCAGAAGGTGCTCTCGAGAACGCCCAGGTGCTCTATTGAGGAGCTGGAGATGGCCGCTAAAACTGCCAGCGAGGCGTTCAGCTCGTGGAAGAGAGTAAACTGTGGAGGGAGGTTGACCATGGTGGTGACATGGGGTGATAGGTACCTGTGTCGGTGCGCCAGAGGTATATGTTCAAGTATGCTGAGCTCATACGCAAGGTGTGCATGCGTGCAAGTTTGCGGTTGTTTTATATTGTTATCACAGGACATGGACAACCTGGCTCGTATAGTGTCGGATGAGTTGGGGAAGACTCTGGAGGATGCTAAGGGAAGTGTAGGGGGACGAAGGAACTCCTGATAGGAATCTCATATGCGCACGCTATAGGTCTTCCGAGGGCTTGAAGTCGTGGAGCATAGTTGTTCAGTGCAGACAATCATGATGGGTAGGGCGACACCCGTTGGAGATTTTGGTGAGTTTCTGTGATGGTCTAGGTGAAACTGTGCAGGGTGTGGCCAACGGTGTTGATACTTATTCGTTCCGCGAGCCGCTTGGAGTGGTGGCGGGGATATGTCCTTTTAACTTTCCTGCTATGATACCTATGTGGATGTTCCCTTTGGCGGTTACCGCTGGAAACACGTAGTACAGTTGCAATATGTGTTGGCTTTCCTCAGCTGAGTTCAGAGTTTACATACAAATTTGGGTAGAAGTGTAAAGAAACTGCTAAAAATTGCTAAATTTTCTGAGATTTCATATTATCACACACACGTAGTGACTGAGATAGATGGCTATATGGTCTCTCGTAGTGTATGCAG